TCCTATATGTGTATTTGATGACTCTGAATGACACAAATTATTCATCAGAGTAATTCTCCTCACTATCTTCCTCGTATATATGATATTCTTCGTCGCTGCCATTTGCAAGTACTTGCTCACCATCAATTGCATTAGGATGGAAGCTACCAAAAAGTTCCTGTAAATGAGTCCTTGAAATATTCTCCATGTTGATGTCTGTATATTATAAAGAAATTCAAAAGTGCCAGCAGGTTCAATATTTTGTCTAATATAATAGCTTAACAATGTGAAACGTTAACTTCAACATGCAAAATTTGAGCAATGCAATAATGATGTTTCAATCTTTATAAACATAAGTGTACATGACTAAATTTGGAGTAGAAATAGAAAAGGATACATGAATTAGACGGCAGAGGCATTTCTTTATCTCCAACCTACATGTGTCAACAACACATCAAAAAATATTGGATCAGAAAGTCATTATTAACACAATATAAAAATGAAAAACATAAAAGCAGTAAACATAGACAAGAATTACCAAATCAATTTCTTCTTCCCATTCTTCTTCACTATCATTACCCTCGACTGCGTCCTCTTCGTCTTCAGCATTGTCAAGTTCTTCATTCTCTTCCAAACCTTTGTTCAAGATGCAAAAGTTTTATCAATAATCACTCAATTAAAAGATTATTTAACAGATCAGAAGATAGTAATTTTTTACTCGGAAATATATTAAATTATAGTTTTACAACAAATAAATAAATAAACTTTCCATTGGCTCACAACAAATAACAAATTAATTAAATAAAATTTGTCCAAACTAAATTACTAAATTCTGCTACGAATAACCTTTTGAGGAAGAAAATTAGAAAACTTTGGCTCAAAGAGTCGGATGAACCTAAATAGAATTCTCCCTTTCAAGTTTCAATTATATATATGACTCAAAATAAATATCATGTAGGGACTTTTTGAGAAATAGAAGCATAACCTAAATTAGGTTGCTGGCATTCTACTCCATCAAGCTTCATGACATTCCTAAGGCACTCCCTCTTTAATTTTTCAAACCTTGAAGTGGCAGCTCTGAGTAAATTCTCTGCGCCAGGCTTGGGAAATACAGATAGGAATCTCACCATAAGACGTTGTCTAATACAATTGATCATGTGTTGTGAGAACCACCCATTTGCAAACTACAAAATAAACATTTTAGATGCAACTTAGTTAATGGGATTTCTTACAGTAACCTCAATCATGAAAGACAAAATCAAGCACTTTTTCTGATATCTAATCTATTTTGGCCTGAATTACTGCAACAAAATTTCAGAATATAACAAGATTGTATAGAATAAATCTGCCACTTCATTGGTTTGAGCAAAAAGGAAAAATGAATAACTCATCATCAACATAAGGCTCTAAATTCATGCCAGGGAATTAGAAAAATATGAAACATGTCAAAAGCAGAGTAAAGCATGCTGGTCTTTCAAATGTTTGGACAATATCATGTCAACATAAAAAGTGAGATATTGAAAAAAAATCATATAAAAAAATTACAGTGCAAGTTGATTGCGATGGAGGCTTGTTTATTTCTGATTGAATATAATCATCGACAAGCTCGAATAACTGTAAAGAAGTCTGGAACTTGTAAGGGAAAGCACGAAAGGCACATATATCCTCCCATCTATGTTTAGATCTGCATGAAACAATAACAATAAAAAATGAGAAAACAATTCCAATGGCAAGATAATAAGCATATATAGTGACAATAACCATATATGCTGTATCAATCCAAGGTCTGCAAATATATTTAATTGAGATTGTAATTAGTTCTTGGTCTTCACTTGTGTTTGCTTATATGTATTAATCTACATTGCTATTTTCTATTTCCTCTTTCTTGTGCATTCACGCGTAAGGAATTGCTTCCAAATTATAGTGAACAGCTTTGTAAACAACAAGAGATAGAATGAAGAAGAAGACATACTTATTGGCAGAATGAGCATCACAGTAACTTTGTAATGGGACAGGTACTCGATAATCAATTCTTTGATAACTGCTAAACCAAAAATATAAACGTAGTCAACAGAATGGAGACTCATTCTTGTTCAAAAATAGAAATATAACAAATAAAAATTCAGTAAAATAATTGATAGAATGAAGATTTTGCATGGGCTTAAGCTTTTCTCATGGCATGCTCAGAAGGTGAAAGGAGCAAATTCTTCTGATTAGCTCTTTTAACTTGCAATAATTGAGTTGCTAAACCATGATATTCATGCAGTGACCTTCCATTCTCTCTTGCAGGCTTCTATCTAGAATTTCTTACTACTTTTCTAGTGGTCCATTTCTAAGGTTTTGGATCAAGAAAGGATATGATCCACGCAAAGACCCTGATTCTCGCATGTAAGACTTACTCCTAATTTCTAAATGATATCTTGGATTCTGGTTATACATTTGCACTCAGAAAAGTATTTGATTCCTGTGATAAATATATTTCTGATTTATTGTTTGATTTGTATATATTATTAAACTACCAGCATTCCAGGGTGTCATGTTATTCTTTTTTACCTTTCAATCAGGTAACAAGAAAGAGCTAGATTTAGGATGGGGATCATGATCACTCTGTAAGCCTGTATTGTCTGCTGAAATTTCAGACTGGTTTATAGGATATATATATAATTATTACTAGATTAATCATAGTCTAATATCTCACTTAGAGCCCAAATAATAAAATTACCTTTTTTATGCGTCAAAATTACGCGTTTATAGACTCGTGGACTATGGTGGTCATATCTGTATTGCGTCTAATTGACAATAATTTCTTAGAAAAAAATGTGACAATAATGTGTTAATCAAAGATGTTTCTCAATCGGTAGTGGTGGAAGAATTTTGACTAAAAATTATGATTAGTTACCAAAAAAATTTCTATCAAGTCACGTCATATAAAATAACAAAAAAAAGAAGAAAAAAAAAACTAGTGATGGGATATTCCTATTGCACCTCATATAAAATGAGAACAACATATTGTTTCATAAATAATTAAAAAAATACAAAAAAAAAAAAGTTATGGAGAAAATTGTTTTGCAAAGTTCTTTATATTTATTCCAAATATTATTTATATGATCTCTCACTCAAATCTGTTCGCCTTATAATTAATCTCAATTTATTAATGGTGGATATCATATTAATCCAATTGTTTATTTGTTAAATAATGTTTCTTTCATCATGAATCACACGAGTGTGCAAAATGGGTGTATGCTCATGCCACTTGCTATCATATGCATTTTTTGGCATGAGTTAATTTGCACATATGTGCATCTGATTTGTGTAGCTATGTCATTTGGTAAATGACTAAAACATCTCAATTTTACTCATCTATTTGTTGTGATGACTAATCATTACCTAATGATTTATGTAATTTCATAATTCCTCTTTTTCATCTAGATCCAAATACTTTTGACACATGTATTCATAAAGGAAAATGTTGTAAACGGAAGCTGAAAATTGTCCGAATAATTAAAAAATTATTATTTTTAATAAATTTATTATAAAATAATTATTTTATAATAAATTTATTAAAAAATAATAATTTTTTAATCATTCAGAGCGTTTTTGACTTCCATTTTCAGAAGCTTTAATAATGCTTATTTATAAAATCACTCAACGTAATAGGTTTGATGGAAAAAGAAAAATATGGTACAAAGAGAACAAAAATAAAAAATGAGACAAAAATTTATGTAATAAAATCATAATAAAAATGAATTCTAAATGTTTACTAAATATAATACATCACTTACTAAGTCAATTATTGATATGAGTTTTAAAACATTGTTTGATTGTAAATAGGATGCAAGTTTAGAGACCAATTAACTCAATTTAAACTTATTAAAACAAAATCACATAGTAATGATTCTTGAAATATTGAAAGTCATTGAAGATTACTTCTTCAAGTAATTAAAAGTATTAAAGAGATTATATTCTAACGTTATCATGTTATATACGACAAAAAAATAATTAACCGCGAGTCCCGAGATATTAAATGCATTGATGATTTCTTTCTCAAGTAATTAAAAGTATATATTAAAGAGATTGTATTTAACGTCTCTTAACTTTCGGTACAACATTTACAATAAAAAAATATTTATATTTTCAAGGTCTTGGTAATAAATATCTTTAAAAGTTTAATGTACCTATTAAATACTTTGAATTACTTTTTTTTATTAAAATTTTATGAGTTAATCACCTATACACTGCTAGTGCAAAGTTTTTTTACATTGGCAATCAATCAGATCTTTTAATAGTGTCATGTCATTTATTTATTTAATCAAATTAAAATAATAAAAAAAGACACTATTAAAATATCTTATTAGTTGTCGGTGTAAAAAAAATTTACACTAGCAGTGTATAAGTGATTAACTCAAACTTTATACTTTTACCTTTTAAACCTTAAAAATACAAACCATTGAGAATATAAATAGTAGTATTCAACAAGGACATTTACATTTTTTATTTAGTGGTTCATCTTCTATAATCAATGATGGCTTCATCCTCATCAAAGAAAATCAGTGTGAAGTGCTCTGATGGCATGGTGTTGGAGGTGGACGAAACTTTGGTGAATGCTTCTCCTACCATGAAGTGCTTGGTGGAAGAAAAGTGTGGTGAAAGTAACATTGTCATCACCTTGCCAAACATCTCCAGCAAAATCTTGTCTAAGATCATTGAGTTTCTCAAGGTTGACTTGGAAAGTGATGCGACTTTCAATGATGTTGGTGTTCAATCTGTTGATGTTGATAGTAAGGCCCCTGAGAGTCTTACAAGTTTCAATAACTTGAAACTAGAGTTCATAAAATTTGATGCAAACACACTTCTATACCTTGTCACGGTTAGTTTCATGTCATGCATGCTTTCTTCCTTTTTTTCTATCTCATTTTTTTCATTCCTTATTATTTATGTGAGTTGTGATTTCTCAAGTTTTCACTATCTCTATATATATGTGTGGGTGTGAATCCAATTTAATGTTTTAGCATTATTAGATAATGGTTATATTTTCCATCTCAGTAATTCTAGCACCACCCTATCTTTTCATTCTCTTCTTCCTCTATCATCATTATTTGCAACAACAAAAAAATTGATTATTAAAATTTTCTTCTTTGATAACAGGGAAAAAGAATAATTGAATTGAAACTTGAAATGGGTGAGTGAATAATTGTTTTTTAAGAATTTGGAATAAAAGAGAAGTAAAAAATCTCATGATAGGGAAATTTTGAACAAAATACATCTTTATTTTTAAATTTGAAATTTGAAAATTTAATAATTTTTTTTATCTAATTCTATTTCCTTTTCATATTAATTTTAAATTTAATTTAGTTTTCACACTATCTATATAAAATCCATCTTTATTTTGTACAAAAAAATCCTAGTTCATTTGAAATTCATATAAATTGGGGAAAATTTTGCGTAAATAGAGTCAAAATCTATCTTAATTTAAAATTTGTTCAAAGTATTTATGAAATTTCTAACAAAAGTTGTGTTAATGGTCACACTCATGGAGACCTCCAAAATCTTAATACTACACAAAAATCATTTTTCTGAATATTTTTCTCGCCTTGCTTTATTGTTTGTTTAATGTGAATTTTCAGGCAACTCATTATCTCAAAATTGAGAAAATTTATCATTTGGGATGCGTAGAAGCTGTGAGAAGAATTAGGGAAAATGCTGCGAAATAGATCTGCCAAATTTTCAAGATCAATAATGATTTCACTCCTAAGAAAGAAGAGAAGAATAAGAGATTATTGTTACCATGTTTTTTTTAAGTTATGTTTAACTATCCATCTTTCTGTAGCAATGTGGATAGTTATGATGTATTTAGAGGACAATCTTGCTATAGATCAAACTAATAAAATCCTCTAAACTCCTATTGATATATCATAATAAAAGAATGCATCATATGGCATTTGATTTATCTTTTGGTTGAGCACTATCCATTTGATTGATTTCTTGTGTTTTCCACCTTCACATTCATCATGTATTTGCACATTGAACATGCGAGTTAACACAGAAAGTTATCAAATGCAACCCAAGTACTTTGAGTTAGACAGGACTCGAACCAAATGAGTTTCAGTACTTATAATCTAAGTATCAAATGATTTTCAAATTTTCTAAAAATTTGCAGATTTGATTTATGCATTAAGAATTTTAAATTGAACGGTTGGATCGTTGAATTTGATGTAAGACATGAATTATTGAACGGAGAAAGTCTAGGTAAACTTACTCCTAAAATAAAAAGATCCCTCCTCTTCATTAATATCTATTTATATATTATTGAAGTAAAACTCTAACTTTACTTGAAGACTACACTTAAAGAATTTTACTCAAATTTTATTCTTCGTAAATTCCTTCCTTGATCAGTTGATCATCACACCACATGAACCATTGGAGTTTAGGAGATTACCCATTCGAAGGGGGTAGATTACTCAAGAATTTTTTACATTTCGTTTCTTTTCTGAAAAAGAAAACTTTTTTGGTACGTAAAGAATTGCAAAAGTACACACATGAAAACCATATGCAGAAATAAATAATGAAATATCCACATATTTTATTAATCAAAAAGAGTAGTTGAACAATAACAATCCGAAAAGAAGAAAATTGTGAATCACCCTCCATCTTTGAGAGATATAACTGGAACAAGAATTACTTGAGGGAGTTGGTGCAATTGGTGAGTGAAATACACCATCCGTAACATTGCTGTCACCTTTTACTTGAATTCCAAATCTCATGCCCCCAAGGCAGTGCCCTACTACGTTGCAGATGAACCAATATTTCTTAACCTCATTCAGTGCCACTTCATCTTCTCCACTCTCGTATTTAGCCAATACTCCACTACTTGCATCACACGATCGGAATGTCTCCTCACTCACTTCATACACATTATGTTGCCCTTTCACGTACTTGAAAACTATACCAAAATACAAAAGATATTAGAACTATAGGAATGACAATAATAAATAATCAAGTAAAGATTGAATGAAATATACGTACCAAGAACATCGCCACGGTTAAAACTGTGTCTCTCTGCCCATCTCGCATAATTTGTTTGGCTACTCCATTCGTCTTGGTCACCAACGGTGTAAACACTAGCCATCACGTGGTTCAAGGGAAAACTACTTAGCAAAGTAAGAATTGCCAGCAAGAAGGTACCATTTTTGAGAAAACTAGTAACCCCCATGTCCTTGGAAATATGAGATATCATGAAGCAGTGACTGAAATAAGGGTGGATAGCCACTTGCCACACAATTGCTTATTCATCCTTTAACATTGGCAAGTTTGTTATGTCATGATTTGGGTTTATATATATAGTGGACCAGGAGAGTTGAAGAATGATATTTACACATTTTAACCAATAAGGTCTAATACAATAATAAAAAATTATTGAAAAAATCATAAATCATTTTGATGCTCTCTAAGTTTCAAAAAGAAATCAGTCTTCAATTATTTTATGACACACAATAAAATAAAATAAATATATTGGCAACTAAATGGAAGATGCCATTATAAACTGTGCATAATAAAAAACAAAAGGGCCTAATGGACCCAAAACAGACTTGGAAGTTTTACACCTTGAAAGTTGGAAGGGCATAGCTGGCTGAAATGATTGTTAACTTCGCACCGAAGATACGTTATCGTTGTGTTTTATGTTTGGCCACACATAGCTATTGCTATGCAAATATTAGATTTTATATGAAACTTCAATAAGAGTTCATAATTATTATTGCGCTTTGTTTGCCCATATTTATTTTATGTCTAAATATCAGCCGGTGATTCATCATCGTCATAGTCGAAATGAATCAAACAATGTTTATTATTTTAAGGAATCGTTATTGTTTAATAATGCACAGCTCATTCGTCAATATTTTGGGCTTCGTCCATGGGCCACCCAAATGTCGTATTTGTCTAACTTTAGTATTGAAATGATGTTCTGGTCTCAGAATTGTGCCTCAAATTAATAGTATTGCACGAATGGTTCTTGAAGATCAAAGCTAGTAAAGACGAGTGTCATGCTCAATTTATTTTTCTCCCATTAATTTTACTAACATGCAATTATAAATTTCTCAATGTTAAATTGGTCTACGAAGGCGATTTGAATCAATGTTTGGGAAGCTTGAGATTTGTTCTATTATTTCTCTAGGCTGCCAACCTATGTATGTAGAGTGGGTGTGATTGTAATCACCGTCATCTATACTTAGACTTCAAACAAAACCTTTGTGATGTGTATATATAGCTAGGTAGTTAAGTGGTGTATCAAATACTCTATTCAGGGTAGGAGTTTAGACATTATTGTTCACCGTGATCTTCCCTTGAGTTGGTCAGTAATTGAATATTGTAAATTCGGGGGAAGGTGTTCGTTTAGTAAGGATTAAGCCTGTGTTGGAAATTTATTTAATACCGGGTAAATTGATATTTTCTTAAGAATGTCAAATAAGATAGTTCAACTTATTCTCAATTTGCTAAAAATAGATTGGATGGATTGAATTCCAACCTAACCCAAACTGTGGTAGTTTAGTAGTTGGATTAAGTTAACCCGACAATTCATTAAAGAAATTATAAATTTATTTTATTTTATTTTATTTATTTTTAAATTTTATGATTAAATATAATTAAAAAATGTTATAAAACTAATAATGAGCGAAATGATTAAAATGATAAATAACTATATATTTAAGAAGTTCACCAACGAAATGATCAATAACATTAAAATAAATTCACCATACAATTGCAAATAAATTCATCAATAACAATAAAATAAGTATTTACTACAATCTCAAATAAGTTTTAATAAACAAATAAATTATAAATAAAACACTATAAGTCAACATCAATAACTAATAGTTAAGGGAGAAAATAAATCAACACAATGAATTAATCTCTAGACATCCCTAATTTTTCACTTGATGCAATAAGTCTTAGAATAGTGAATTTAAGCCTAATTCAACACTACAAAACTGGCTTATAAGGTGAGGATTATTTTTCACTTATATACTATTTAATTGGCTAATTTCTAGTCGATGTGGGACTTAAATTTTTCCCAATAATAAGTAGAAGAGTTGAGTTAAATTTGTGTCATGTTAAATGTACCAAAAGTACAAACATAGTAAGTAGGGTGTCCTTATTGTATTATTTGTTAGATATTTCAAAAAAAAATTAAAGTCTCATTAATTATTATTTAATTATTTCAAACTTATATACATTTATAAAATAAAAAATAAAGAAAAAAGGACATGCTATATTTAGTTTCAACTAAATCATTTTTTCTCTCATATTCATCACTTTCTCTTTTCTTGTCCTCGTCGAGTTCCCAAGTTTGTAGAAAAAAAATTGTTTTGCTAATTTTGTTGTCTCGAGAAAAGCTGAGCAGGGACGGATGAATTTTTCTAATTTAAATACGATTTTCACTTATCAATTTAGTAATGTTTGATTAACTTGTTAGAATGGAACACAATAAAGCAAGAATTTTACTTGATGTCTGGTGTGCTCTAAAAACATAATAGAATAGCACCACACATGAAACTAAAAGATATACATTTTAGTTTCATTAAAAAAGGAGTAAAACAAAAGAGAACAGAATAAACAAATTATTCCATCCACTCAACACGCTACCTTGGTATCTAAATATTAAAACTATTTTGTTCTCATTTTAGGAAAAATGCATATATTTGACTGACTAAACAATGGAAAACTTTGAAAATGGAGGAAAAATTACTTCTAGGAAAAAAAAGCATTCAAACATTTTAATTTTGAAGCAAAGGAGGGTCAAGCCCAGAAACAAAGGTGTTAAAAGTGATTTAAGAGCAGCTGTGAATTTTGAAAATTATCATCATTTCCAATTGTTAGTAATTAGTATACATACATGATTAAACAAAGGTTGACAAGTTAAAATTACTCATATTTTTAGAGAAATCAATCTGATTGTTGACTATTTAACAAATACTGCTTATAATAGTCAATTTGGGTTACATTTGTTAGATAGACTACCAGTTGAGTGTTTTTATTTTCTTAGACAAAATATAATGGGACTATCTTTATCTTATAGGAGTTGTGTTTAAGTTATTTAGGTTTTAGCCCTCCTTTTTTAAAAAAAAAAAAAAAGTATATAAAAAAGGGTCAAACCCATAAACAAAAAAAAATATGGAAAAACACCTCCAATGAAATCAACAACTTAAAAACTAAAAAGAGTAGTAAATCCAAGACTTCCATTTCTTTCTTCAAAAGCAAAGTCAAGTGAAACGACGGGAATTTCATTACCTACAATATAATAAGGGTGGCGTCAAGAAATAATGTTGCACAATTGGTCTAAATGAAAAATATAGTTGATAAGTGTAACCATTTTTAATTATCCTCACGACGAAATATTTACGAAATCCAACATAATCTAAAATTAACATGTTTTAATAGTTTTTTTTTTTATTCATGAACATAATGTTCTAAAACTAACAACTATAAACTAATTTAATATAATCGAGAATCAAACATGAGACCATCAAGTTGACATAGGCATTTGAAATAAATATTTGAGAAATATTTAATATAGGATATACAAAAATTATAATAATCAAAATACAAATAAGTGTCTTACAAAATCACACGAATTAGAAACTTCTATTCCAACTCCATCATGTATGGTTAAGACCTAAGCGTATCCTATCTGGTCATATAAATAAGAATTCATTTGTGCCAAATAGCGGTTCTAATAAATAGTAATGGAAAATTGGAATTAATAGTAAAAGATAAAATCCCATGAGACATGGTAAGGCGTCACAGAAAGAAAAAGGTTGCAACTTAAACAACACTAGATTCAGCAACACTAAAAGCAAAAATGTAATAGAAGAGAAGGTGAAGGGGGGGACCGCAGGGAGTGATTCTCCAATTATATTCAATTCATCGTTTCTTTAGAAAAAGAAGGTAAATCAATCAATGCAAGACAACCAAACTCTTTCAAATGCCTGTGAAATCCAACTCCGACTCCCACCCTATCCCCAGATATAGAACAACAACAATGAAAGCCTTATCTCACTATGAGAGCATGGCTGTTGGATCACACGACACCATTGGGCTCGGATAATCCCCACATATTGAACAAATAAAAAATAAGAAATAGGAAACAGCGTACAAGTTAGTAACCCACATTGCCTCTCCACTTTAGGTGACCAAAAATCAAATGGACATTCAACCTGCTCTGTCAGTGGCTGCTTTTCTCAGTGTAACATAAGTCCCATTGATTCTGTTCCTTCAAGCTCCTAGAAGTGAATTGGTCTTTTAGGCAAGAGAAGAGAAAGGGTCTAAACAGTAGAAATCAAAACATTGACAACATATGAGAACATGTTTGGTACCTTCAAATTTTAAATTTGGGCAGGAGCAGACCCAGTTGGCTTTAAGGAAGTAATGTATCACCATAACTTCGCTACAAATCTTTCAGATGCTTAAATTCCTCGCAATCAGCTCCAACCTCACTTAGTGATAAAAAAAGCTTTGGCACTATCTTGGCTAACATCAACTTGAAACCCACAGAGGTTGAATTCTCACTGCTCTTCTCACTTACAGAGGCATCTCTAGTCAGTGAGCCAATCAAGTAACCTTTCATATATGCATCACAAGCCTTAAGGATGTTATGACCCCGCCTCCTAAAATGTTCTTTGATGAGCACATCAAAATCCTACAGTATTCATCAGTAAGATAACAGTCAAATAATGTGCGACTCATAGAAATTAGAAACAACAGCAGTCTCAACAAAAACACTTCAAAATATTAACATGGTTAAGATGCTATGGACTTCCTTACAAACATGAACTATTGCCAAAGAACCTATGCACCCTCAGTCTAGTGAAACCAAGTACTCACGGAACAGTAGAGTTTTAACAATTGATAAAATAGGGATAGGATGAACAAAAACATCCTACAATCCTCATTCATAATCACCTTGGGGGGTCTCCTCATAAGATACATCATGGTCTTGCAGTTAAGTAAAAAGGTATTCTCATTGTACGACAATGAGTTCTTCTCTCCTTCTGCTGTTCCAACCTGCTTATCATACCCAGCTTCGTTGAAGTAAGGCTTAGAATTGAGCACTAAACCTTGCAGTGAAACTAGGACTTGAAGGATGCTAGAAGATTTTGGATCCCATACTTCATTTCCTCTGCCTGTCCATGTATTTAGAAGGCTAAGGCAAACCTTCCCTTCCTCATACAGATTAGGGTTAATTCGCCAACCACCAGAATGATAGTATGCTGACTGCATCATTTGAGACCCAGACAATGAACACAGAAAAGGCATTAGATATGTCCATTCAGACTAAACTTATACAAATAGAACATGTGATTACATTTAACTATCTTCTCTTCTTTTTTTTCCAGTGGGGGCATCATAAATTGAACAGCAAAGCTTCAAGATAAAATTCCTTACCGGTGGAACATCGGGGTATTCTGGCGGAAGGTGAAAATCAAAGAAAAAGAGCCCATCTTGGTAAGGGGTTCCATATGGCCCTACAATAACTGCTCTCAAGAGATCCATTCTATCTTCATAAACTCGTACAAAGATTTCCTCTGTCAAAATGTGTCAAACGTTTACACTTGCTGAAATGGGTGTATAATTCATTACTACAAAAGTTAGATGGCATCAAATATATGTATCACTGACCAGGAAGGTTATTCTGCAGTATGTTCCAATCTTGTTGCACTTTCTTAAACCATTTCCGGTTGTTACTCTGAAAGTGGATTGGAAATAATCTAGTGATTGTAGTATAATATAATAAAGGAAATCAAATTCAAAAGAAAGAAGCAAACATTTGAACAGATATGTGTGCACACTCACATGTCTGATGCATCAAACTGGTTTAGCTAAATATAAGAACCTAATCTCATTAATACTAATCTATAATGATCATTGTGTTAATATTCGGGCAAGTATATGCACATGTTTTGGTCAAAAAAATTTATCAAAGATATACCCACTTGATCCAAATTGATTTTGATAAGGAATATATTAGCAACCTACACACTTCTATTTGGACAAAAACCCAACTCTGTTTCTTTTAACATCTTTAGTTTAAAAACATGAATATAATTTAAATTTTATTTATTTAAAAAAGTGTTTATCTTCAACTTCTCTCTCCTCTTCCATGCTGTTTCTCTGTATTTCCCAACCTTTGCTCCCCTCTATTGGTCTGTTAATGCTCCCATAATTAGGCCAAAACAACTTGTGACGATGATGATTGCAATTTTTTTAAAGTGTTGTGAAAAAGAAGTTGGCAGCCACATAAAGTATTATCATACAGTACGAAATGATTTCCATCTACTGTGAAGTCTCTCAGGGCATATTCATATTGGCACTCAAATTTTGATTTTGAACAAATGTGCCATGTTTGACTATCATGTATTGTGTGTTGCTTTTTTTTCAATCCAATTCTTCTTTCTGGATTGGTTATCTCTATGTTCTTGTTGGCCAAATTGTGTTCTCTATTACAAGAGAACATACAATAACAGGGAGAGGAAAGGGTAGGAGAGAGACAGAGGAGGTGTAGAGAGCAATTTAGACAATTAGTATTTTTTAAATAGGTAAATTTTAAACTACATTAATACCCTTGAATGTTTGTTTTAAAAGGCGTTTTTAACAGAAAAAGGAAAGGTTGAGAGAGGTGAGTACCTGTCCATTTGCACCAATAAAATAGTGGTCTGTTGGATCTTTAGTTATGTCAAAATGTTTCAAACTGCAAGTGTCATTATCGCAACTTGCTGGAGCATCTTCATTTCTCAAGCTACAGAGTGCCACACATGCTTCCAGAGTTTCAGTTGCTTCTGAAACAACCTCCTCATATCTTTCGTTTGTATTGTCTGAATTATCATCATCAATAGCAATGTGTTTCTGTGAACTAGACTCGTCATTAACTGCTGGAGATGGATGCTCAGTTTCACCTTTTGACTCTGAGTTAATAGGATCTACATTCCTTTGGCCCCTTGAGAATATTTCACTGGCAAGTCTAGTGACAAATCGAAATGCTGCCAGGGGAACTGAAAGTGCTGCAGCCCTACCAAAATCATTCTCTCCAACTTCTTCTACCTCAGAAGTAACACTGCTTGAATTTTCCCTCTCAATATCCTGCATGTCATAATATTGAACAATTAAAGAAATGGTCTAATAACTACTTTTTTAGTGGCTGATAGGAATAAAGGATGTCTATCACAAAACTTTGAAGACCTTTTGAAATGAGATTATGATAATTTTCACAAACACTTAAATTGAAATGAGATTACAATTAATTGAAACATTAAACAGCCATTTATAATCAAATGAATTGCTTAGTGCACATGTACATATTACACAAAGGCAAGGAGAAGAAAAGCAAGACAATGAAAACAGCCAAATTTTACAAGAATGGGAAATTACAATTTCCATATCTCAGCTCTCTTATTAATGAGTGGAAGCAACTTTAGATAAGGATCTCAATATAAGTACCAAATAACATTTTTTTTCATTAGGCTTCCTCCCTGACAAACAAATTGAAAGTTACTAAAAATCACAGCACATGTGCAAAAAGAAACAAACCTCTCTGGAATCCTCAAGGACTTCCATTTCATCATCATTAACAGTTTCCCAGCTTGCAGCATCACTTATTTCACTCCCAGCAGCAATTGATTCATCATCATCGTCTCGACCAACCACATAGATTGCTTGGGGTCCAACCTGGAAGTAAAGTAAATTATTGACAATTAAAATGGAAAAGCTGTATCATTAGACATAAAGTGCTTAAAAACAGAGTCCAGATATATGAATACCTACCTCAATCTTTCATTTTGCATCTTAGAGAATTCAGACCAAAAGGATAGATTTTAAAGAATCTAATTCAAACATTATTTAAAAATGTGAATGGAAAAGATCCAAAACCCCAAAATTCTTGAGCTATTACAGCACAAAAAGATCATTCAACACATTCAAGCATTTTAATAACCTCTAGCAAAAAGACCACGTTTTTACTTATTTCTAACAGTATCTAGATTTTCTTGACATTTCACATCGACTGGAGATATGGCCAATGTAATCTTTATAAGGCTTGGGACCTTATAAGCCATTTTTGTCGAGTTTAGTCTTATTCCTATATCCAAAATAATAAAATGGTATTAGAGTTTATCCTAGATTCAATATTGGGTCCTCGATGTTTGTCTACACTCTATATGTTAATTCCTAGATGAAAGGAGTGTTGTTATCTGGTCACTCCAATCCTAGATGTGAAGGAGCATGTTGAGATCCCACGTTGACTAGAAATATGGTTAATGTAGTCCTTATAAGGTTCAGAAAGTCCTCACATTACAAACAGATTTTGCGGGTTCAAATTAGGCCCTAAGCCCAAATTCTACGATGTTACATGATTGAAACCTAATAACCTATAGATAATAGACGTTATTGTTAAATTAGTAATTAGTAAGTAGGTGATCTAAACATTTTAAATTAAAAAGGAAAAAAATACTCCTTGCCCCATTTCCAGTCAAGACTAATACTCCTTGCCCCATTTCCAGTCAAGACTATCAAGCAAATGATAGAATCCCAAATCTATAAATCCATCTTGATTTTGCCTTGTTGACATAGACAAAAAAGTGAACCTAGACTCAACAAGCTTAAGGTACAAATAATTTGGTATAAACTTTTTATAATATTCAACAAAAAAATTCTGAAACTTTTTATATAGCTAGTTGTTAGAATCTCTTAAATCTTAATACATTTAGGATGTGTTTGGAAGAGCTTATTTATACTTGTAGCTTATTTGGGCTTATCATATGACATAAGCACTTATGTAAGTGTTTGAAATAACTTCAGAAAATAGCTTATAACAACAGCTTAGAGCTTATATGAAAACATTTTAACCATATTTGTTCTTTCATTATAGAAACAACTTATACAAAAGTGCTTCTAAGATAAGCATTTATTCAATAAGCACTTAATTAAGTTGTTTACTAAACACATCCTTATTAGGTGTTTGTTTCAGAGATTTTGGATACTTTTTGTACTTTCTCCTCGTATGTTGTATTTGATAATGGATATCTTAGGGATTCCTTAAGCTATATTTCATTGGGATTAGAAAACAGAGGCCCTAAACTTTTACATTACTTGATCCTCAAGTTTATATGTTCCCTGAATTCCCGCTATTTCAGTGAAGTAAATACCTACAAACTACAAACTAAGGTATGTAAATTCCTCTTTTACTCATTTTCCCTAATAATACTTGTTCAATTATCTGCAATATGTTTTGGTAAATTTAAGATTTAACTCATTGATTTAAACACTAAAATATGAGCCTGATTTTACAAGCCCAATAAACATTCCAAAGCAAAATCCTAATCTAATTGCCAAAATTTCACAAAAAGGAACCCTCCCTGATTGTAAGTATACTGCACAAAGTTCTTGTAACAGTAAGGCACATGGAAGAATATTTTAGTCACCAAGATATTCAAGAGGCCATTATGTCTCAGTCTTAAATTTTAGAACATTTAATTTTCCACCAGGTATTAAAGTAATTGAAGCAGTTCTTCAGTATTCATTAACTGAAATAAGATGCAATACACACACACTCTGAAGGGAAAGAAATAACATACAAATGACAAAATGAACATACCGTTGACACCATTCCATCAGCCCATGTAACTTCAATATCACCATTCTTAAGGCCAGTTATATTTCCAACCCAAGAGAGGTCAGAAAATTGCACAGAAATATCATCGGATACATTTTCTATTTTACTAGCACCAGTTTGGATTTTTAGTTCCTTTTTAATCCCACTCTCTTCACTTTTCTGCTTTGATTTCTCAGTGGACTCTCCAACAGAAGCTGTTTCTAAACAGACAGACACAGGTGACAGGCGGACAACCACATCCCCATAGCAGTAATCATAATCTGGATGGCCCTCTAGCTCATACACACTTACAACTTCTTCGTTGTCAAACTCTCGAGGATCTTCTGCTCTGTCAACCTTTTTTAACCACCTCACACTAGCTGTGCGCTCCTTGGCATTAACACTTCTCACTACCCCAACTCGCCTAGCTTCAGACATATCCTCGCCATCATCAGAAGTCTTCTCTACCACATATTGTTCTGAAACGAATTCATGATCACCAGGATTATCTATAGGAATTAAACTTGTAGAATTTAGTTCACGCTCTATTTTTCCATCCTGCCATGCAACATCAACTCTTGTCCTTGTGTTGGTAATCAAAAGAGCTTTCTCAAAACTTTCCTCTTTCTTTCGAGCCCTTTTCTCTTTCCTGATTACAACTTTCCTAATTTTCTTGCGGTGAAGAGGCCAAGCTTCATGAACAGGTTCCTTTGATACAGAGATAGAACTACCACATGAGCTAGAATCACGTGAAGGATTATTCTTATCATTTCCATCATTCCCTTCCAAAGCATCAACTGGATCAAGGTCCATAGTATCCTTATTTCCATTTGTTTCCTCAACTGCAGTTTCTTCTGAATCACATCCACTTCCTGTCTGATTAGAATCCAATTCAGTGTTAGTAGAATCCTTAAGTTCCAATTTTGATACGCCTTTGTCCATGGAAACTGAGGATGACAGTACTGATGAGGGTAAGAGACACCAATCACCCAATTGCCAATTTGCATGAGCAAAACAAGACAACAATTTTAAGTTTTTTGGGCTCTGCTCCTCAGCTGGGGCAGTAGAAGAATATGGCCCATAACCTGCAGATGCTATCCAATAAACAAACACTGATCCAACAGTAACCTTAGTGACTGTACCTTCTAACCTATTAGCTTTCCACAAGCCAGACAGCCATCTTGAATTCTTGAAAACTGATGAGGAGCTGGCCCTTACACGTTGCCCTGGGTAATAAGGAAAATGCCCATCTTCAAGAATATTCTTAGAAATTGGTTTAAGATTCAATGGATCTGCTTTCGAGACTTTACAAACTGAACCATCATCAAATAAGACGGTTACATTATCCAAAACGTCATCAATTCTGCCAAGCCAGGGCCCAAGCACCACATAATCACCAACAGTGAAATCCCTAATACGCTTCAAGTTTTTTGATGAGACATCTTTTATTATAGACCCATCATAGGCCAACAGATCCACACACATATTGACATCAACCACTACACCAACTTGCCCAGTAGGATCTGAAGCAGCGGCAACAAAATCCCCATGTAAAAACCCACGATCAACAACTTCAACATCACTAAAATTTTGAGTAGATTCAGATTCATCCATCCACAGTACACGCAGCTGGTCAGCCAGAAGAGCATCAGTTTTACAATGCCCAGCAGCACCATTACTTTCAGAATTTCTGCTAGCGTTATTACTGTCATTGCCTTCCTCACCGTCACCATCCTCATCCTCACTATCATTCTCATTGTCAGTGATGCTACTATCTGAATCCGAATCTGAATCACCCGCAACTTCTGTAACAATCCCAATCATGCCACTGATATTATTTTTCACAACATCTTGTCTATAGATATGTGGTGTATTACTTTTCTTACAAGAAACATCATCCGGCTCATTAACATCACTACTTTCGGTATTTACAATCAGATTGCTGTTCGCAGACTCACTGGCAAGAGCACCTTGGTTCAAAGAACTGCTAGCACAAGCACTTTCAGCAGGCTCGCTGTCTTCAGAAGGTTCTTCATGCCGTTGAACTCCCATCTAAAATCATAACATATGAATGTCAATAGATTGCCATTCTAATCTTGTTATTCACCTTATATTCAGCAATTGAAACAATAGACAAACTTATCAAAGGCAAGTTCTATCCAAAAACAATAGTTCCGCCTCTTCCATTGCTTTTCAATTTACTCGGTAGACACGGAGCAACATCTACCCTTTAACTAAATGATATGTAAATATTGAAAACACGTTGGAACAAAATGGTTACAAAAAATTCGGTGCTAAGAAACAAAATGTGACATGACGCCAGAATAAAAAGAAAACCACCGACTTTCATCGATTTCAACAAACAAAAGGGAACCCCATTCTGGATCTGAAATCAATCCGCGGAATCAAACAAAAATACGGTTCTGCGGCCAATCGCAATCTAGTTTGCGAATTCAAATTCGCACGCACACGCATCATCAATAAACCATTTCAGCTCAATCAGGCAACATTGAGGATAGGATTGTCCAAAATTAAATCCAAATTCACGGCACAACGCAGATTAATATACCCTAAGGTAGCTCAAACATTTAAAATGAATGAAAACAAAACGCAAGCAGACAAATTAATCGAACGTGAAAAAGAAAACGGGAGAAGGAACAAACGAATGAGCTAAATTTCAAGGTTGTATCGGCGCCTAGGGAGGTTAATGGTTTCAGAAAATAAATTTGAACATAGCGAAACAAGGAGCGATATTAGCAATAAATTGAAAAGTGAAGAAAAAGAAAAGCCCTAGTTATTGGAAGATGAGAACGAGATTGAAAGCATACCTTGCGAGAAAGAACAACAGGTTTGTGTATCAGATGAAAAAGAAGAAGAAGAAGAAGAAGAAGAGGAGGAGGAAGAAGAAGAAGAATATGCGAAAGACTCTGCACAGAGGAACGAGTATTTGTTGCACATGTAGGGGTAACATCGTCATTTCAAAAAGATAGCTTCTTCTTCTATATCCAGCTATCTGATAACCCCATCAGGACCGTTCGTTTTGAGGACTAGATCAAAAGAAACTATACAAAAGGCAAAAGCAAGAAGAAAAAAAAAATTAAATAAATACACCTGACTTAAATTAACTATAAACAGTTTTTTTTATGAGAGCCTTTTTTTAAAAAATAACTTTTTAATCAATTTAATTTTTTTATTTATCATATTTTATTTGTGAATTAAAATTTTAATATTTTAAAATAAACTATCAATAATTAAAAATAAAATCATGTATCATAATATAATTTTTTATCTTAAATCAAAATAGAATTTACATATTTAAAAATACCTATTTATATAAATTTTAAATATAATTTATATATTCAGATATAATATTTATTTGTACATATAATTTAATTATTTCAAAAAAATAAACTTAACCATCCATTTTTTTCTATGATATAGTTAGGTAGTGTTTCAAAATTAACAACCAATAAACAAATTCAGTTAAATTATTTTTTCATTTTTTGTGATAAATACTAGCAAATAAATTTTCATCATATTAATTTTAATTATAATAACACGTTAACATGGTTTTTATTTATTAATAAGGTTTTAGACGATTGAGAAATAACTAAATTTTTTAAGGATGTTGGGGCATGTTTCTTTTTTTAAGGATGTTGAAAGTGATATTACTCGTTTTAGTAAAAAAAAATTATTAAAAAAAACATGACTTAAATTATAATATTAACATATATTTAAAGACTAAAATGACAATAAGTAATTATTTGTAAACTAAACTGAAAGAATTAGAATTTACAAGATTTTTTAAAAATCTTCTTATTTTAGGAACTAAATTATCAACAAAATGATTTTTTTTTTATTGTTTCTCTTTTATAATTGGGTTCTGATGGCTTTATTTTAAGATGGGGTTTTGATTTCGGCCCGAAATTAGGAGAATGAGAAGGGGCCTAGGGGTGAAAAACTAATATTGGTCGATTTCTTTCTTCCAAGTAAAGACATTAAAAAAGAAGAAAAATAAAATAAAACATAACACGTTTGATTCCAAAGCAAAGTGATGAAAATGCTAATTTAGGTCATGCAAGTTTCAGATTGTCAAGAATTCTTTCCAAAGTAGTCTTTCAATCCAAGATACTATAATGCCTAATTTTAATAGCTAACGTAAGGTATGAATTTATGGGAAGAGAAAAATGAGAGAAAATTTTGGAATTCAATAAATAATATAATAGACATATATAGATTAAAAAATTATATAAATTATTATACATGTCACTTTAAATTTATTTAGGTCAAGTCATGCCTGGAATCTATTTGGTGGATGAGATTTTCTTTTTACTTTTTTGCTTCAAATGCAATTCTCTCGAATATTTATTTTTTCGTGTTGCCACCTTTTATGGATTAACTAGCTTTTCAGATTTCTCATATATGGGATTTATGTATAAATTTATAGGTTTTTTTATATGTTTTCTTGTTATAAAATTTAAAATTGTCTTGAATTTTAAATCATCATGAATGTTATATTAAACTTTAAAAACGTGATGATATGATATCACATTAATAAATTAGATTTAATTTTAAATTTAATAAAATTTTATAATTTGTTTTCACACTTTTATCTCATTGTTAAATTATTACAAAATAATATTTCAAACAAGAATGTTATTCAGGTCAAACATTTATGTTGGTAAAATCATATCTTTATAATTTTATAATTTATAGGTCTTTCAAACCCTGAATTCATTAAATGGTTGATTCTAAGGTGGGGTTTCTTGTTTTGTTGAACTTTGGTGTTTTGAGTTTATGAAAGTGAATTTTGGTGATTGATCAAAATTGTTGTCGCGTGTTGAATTTTTGGTACAAATTGAGATGTGGATGATGTATATGTATGATATGTTGCTTTGCATGTTTGGGATTTTCTATATTTCACGTGGCTTAAGCCAAATTGAGGTTTGCTAGGTGCATAACTCATTATTGCATTGAGCGTGGTTTTCAATCAAAGGTGTTTTGTCTCGCTCATGCCAAGCACATAATGGGTGGTGTCAAGCGTGAGGTAAGAGAATTGACTATGTCTGGATTGATGTTGAATGCAAAAAGAGTGACATCAAGCATGAGGAGAGAGACTTGTTTTTACTTTATTCGGGGTCGAGCATGGGACTTTGTCATGCCAAGCGTGAGGTCCCAAGGGTCTTTACCTAATCCACGTCGACCGTGGGTGAGGCAAAAGACTCCTTGCCCAATGGCGTCAAGCATAGGGTTGATAACATCAAGCGCATGTTACCTTTTAACAATTTGTTGTTTATATGATTACATGGTAAACTTGAATAGGTTAGGTGAATCTATTGCATGTTGTACGTTGATTAGTGATATTTGTTCCATGTATAATAATTTGGAATAATATATATAGATGATTGTATGATGAATTTCGTTGAAATGCATTGGTATGTTGTAAGTTGATTAATGTTATTAAATCTATATTCTTGAACCTAGGATAATGTACATAGATGAATATTGTTAAGACATTGATGTTGACAATGCTTTAGGCATTTTGACATGTTGTATTGATACATTATTGAGGTGTGATGTAGAAAATGTTATAGGCATTCAGGGATGTTGATTGACTTTTGACTAAAAGAGATAATATTTTGAAAGTTAGATATCTCATTATGTTAATATTAGTGGAATAATTCTCTTAAAGTGAATTATTGGGCCTCTTCTAAATCCTTAGTTGATGTTAAAGTAACGGTATGAAGTTGAGGACTACAATCGTTAACTAATTACTGGAGAGGTATGTGATATTATGAGAATAGTTAGTTGGCTATAATCCATAAGGGATTTGATTAATGCATGTCAATGTCATGGTAAACTCACACCCAAGTTATGTTATACCTAACAGTGGTATTAAACTTTTTTAGTTTAAGTAACAACATCTGAGAAATCATGTGTAAGGATTAATATCCTAATTAGTTGTTAATCCAGTAAGTGTGTAAGGTGTGAAAAAGATTGATTAGTTTAGTAAGGTCAAGTCTCTTATACCATTCATCTTGGTGTAGGAAATCTCTATTGGTGAATGCATGACGACACATTAGTTAAGGTATATGCATATATGGTGTGTTTTAGTATTGTTCACATGCTTTGGTGATTATATTATTGAATACCATGTTGAGGTGTATTATAGTTGATTTACATGTTGGTGTTGGTGAGTGGTGAGTAGTATAGTTGTTCTTACTTCTACACTTGATAGATGTATATTTTTTAAAATTTAACTTATTCTTACATGTTTTTCTAGTGATTGGACTGTGATGATCATATTTACATGAAAGTAGAGCAATGTTAGCTAGGAACAGATTCTTGTTGGTATAGCCATACTGTTAGATGGCTTATTACAAATTCTTTTGGATTATTATGATGTAACCAGTTATATAAGTGTTGCTTAACTAACTTAGATTGACAATAGTTTTTGGATTAATAAATACAAACTTGTATATTCAATTGTTTACATGTATGCATATAGTACATCTTGCATTTTTAGGAATTGTTATTTATTAATCGTAAGATGTGCATGTTTTTCTGCTATTAGATGGTTGTAAATTTTGTTATTCGTAGAAATTATGGTGAGTTGTTACATTACGAGATTAAAGGTCATTATTTTTTTTTAGAAGAACAACTTAATTCAAAATTAAAAAAATAAATAACTAAAATAGATTTTTAAAACGAAAAAATACTAAAATATATATTAAAAATAAGAATAAAGAACTAAACTTATAATTTAACAATTTATAATTTGTAATCTAATCTATAATGTATAATTATAGTAACGAAGATAACTTCATTTGATTTTTACATTCTTTTTTGTTATTCTTTTCCTCCTAACAACTGAACATAATAATAATATTAAAAAAAACTATCTATATATGGACACAAAATGAATGCAAACATGTATTGAAATTAAAACTCTTTTTGTATTCCTTTCACACAAAAAAAAAAAAAACTATTTTTGTATTTTTCCTATTTTTTATTCTCCCTTATTTCAGTAAAATACAAACAGCATACATGATAGGGCTGTCTTTTTTTTCCATCAACAAGAATATAAAAATGTTTTAAAATTTATCAAAAAAAGTATGACATGTAATCCTTTGATGTAATTGTTAATAAATAACCACAATAAATTAGTTTTAACTAATCATATGGATATGTGACATCAATTTATTTTAATAGTTTTATTAATCATAATTTCATTACGATAATTTTAAATTACTGTTATTTATTTTGAAAATATAATTTTTTAATTAATTTTCTTGTACTACTCTAATGTTATTTAAAAACAATGTTAGTGTTTAATAGTTTTAAAATTTTAAAAGAAAAGAGTTTATAAGACACGAGAAGTTATCGTAAGATTTAAAAAAAAAAAAAAAATTGATGAACACCCCTTGCATATTTGACATCTAGTGGCATTCATGCGAAACAAGATCTTAATTCACGAAAGTGAATTATACAGTACAGTACATTAAAATTCATAGAAATACATATTTTTCATATATGTTACTCATGGGCAATGGGTAGATGAAATTAAATTATAATATATGGCCACCAAGTTACAAGGGGGCATGATTAATAATAATATTATTCCACCACATCATAGGTGTCACATATAAGTTTTCCACAATCAAAATCTGACTTCTTCAATAGCAACTCAGCTAGGAAATTAGGCAAAACTTTGTCCCTGAAATGTGCTACCAATTTCAAATCACCCTGCAGAACAAGCCCCATGACATAAGATGTAACACTAATATCAAAGCTTCTCCATTTTCTCTCTTTTGCATATTTCTTCAAGCTAGCCACAATCTTCTTGTGTTGCACCTCAGCCTTAGCCTCTTCATCCATCTCTTTAATGTGTTTGCAAGGTTTTTTGTTGAAGGCCTCAGCTAGAAACCTGGCTAAGACAATCCCATCCTCCAAAGCACAACAACCACCTTGGCCTAGGTCAGGGGCCATGGGGTGAAATGCATCTCCAACAACACAAACGTTGTCTTTACTAATGTTCCCCAACATTAGTTCCCACTGATGTCTATATCTCAATGGTGAAGTTAAAATATCTTTCACTTCTGTTTTCTCTATAAAGGATTTGACTTCACTTGGCATCTTCTCAAGCATGCTCAACGCTAATTGCTTCATTTTAGCTGGGTTTTCTGTTAGCCCCATTTCTGCAAATCAATTTTTAGAATGTTAATATTTATGAAGATTAAATTATAAAAAAAAAAAACATATATATAAAAGTCTAGGTGAGTTGAATTTCATAAACTCATCCAAGTAAGCTTCTAAACTCAAAATACACTTAAATAAGTATTTAAAAATTATTTGTTAACAAAATTTTCACATCTTTTCGAGATATGAGTCTCCTCCTTATCAATAGAATCAACTTTTACTGGTAAATTAATAAAATTTAAAAATTAAACTATAATTTTAAGGAAAAAAAATATATTTAAGAAAGAATTCACCTTGAGTGGTGGGAGTCCAAGTTAAAAACCAATAAACAGTGTTGTCATCACAGGGCAATACACCAGCTCGAAAGCCTTTCCCAAAGTAGTGATTGAATTTGGGCTCAAGCCCATCATGGCCCATCAACTTTGTATAACCCCTGATTACGTATCTCCCCGTAAAAGATGCCTCCTTGAAGCCCAGCCACTTTGCGACCATAGAGTTTATTCCATCACACCCAATCAACACCTTTTTCAATAGGAAACATGGACGTATCAATTAAGTTAAAATTGAAGTTGTTGGTTACTTCCTATACATGAACTTCATTCACGATTCACCTTGTTTTGAATTAATTACCTTGGTTTTTATGGTTGTTCCATCAGCAAGATGGAGTATCTTAGAAAAGCCAGATTCGTGTATAGCAACAACCTTTGACATGAACCTCATCGTGCCACTTGGAAGCTCCTTAGCAAGTGCTTCCAACATTAGTTGTCTTCTAACACAACGAACTTCCCTCTCTCCACTTCATCACATAACACCCATTATCATTACTTTAGAGTTTTAAAGTCAAAATTAAGAACTTGATCGGTTGCTTTTATCCATAACCGATACGATCAGCTACCGACACCTTTTCTTTTTAGGTAAACAGTTTGAATTTCAAAGCTTTTGACACGCATGTCAATGGTTGTCCTTAATTCATTAATCTAATCAAAAACAAATCACATTCACATTGAATGAAAAGGATATTATATATATATATATATATATATATATATATATGAG